TCGTCATCATCATCATCATCATCATCATCATCATCATCATAATCTCATTAGTATTCTGCTTCTGCAGAATACATATTCAAATAAAGCATATGACGCGGGTAAAGACGCAAGCACTGCTGGATTAAGCGGCAAGTTGCGTAACGTTTCTGAGTACTGAGAATGAGTTAGCATAAGCGATTGCTTTGCACTGTCCAGTTGATTGTGGAAACCGAGTAAACATCTGGCTGACATTAGTGACTACAACTTGCATCCATTGAAAGCACTTTCTAGAAAAAAGAATCTCCAGTTCTACCGGCGGCTTGACGAAATTCAGATTTCAAGTTGAAAAAGTGAGTTATGAAAACCTGTAACTTTTGAAAGGTTTCAGAAAAGATGGTTTGACTCACATCTCTGATCTGTCCCACGAAGGAATTTCCTCCCGTTTGTAGGCGACGAAGACTCCCTGTCTGTCGGCTGTAGGCTCAGGCGTATATCGTAAAACTGGGTGGGTGGTGTGAAAACCGAACCTAGGCCTTCCACAAAGGGAAAAGTAAAGAGTATCTTAGCATACATCTATAAAATAACCAATAATTGAGTCTGTTCAAATGCTTAGACTTGAGCAAGAAATTTGAGGAAAATAGTAAAATCGTTAGAATTTTAAGAAATAAATAAGAACCTTCTAGAACAAAGAAAGCTTTTTCGTGCTTTAAAATTAATCCTTTTTCTTTCAAATGTCAGCGCTAGCTTTTTCAATCCGTCGAGTGCTTTAGCTAGTACTGAAGAGGCAACGACATACGGGAATGGCTGTTTTCTTAGGAAAACAAGGTTATAAAAACTTCGGAGGAAATAGCGGGCATTTGGGGCCTGATTTGGTGAGAATAGTGGATGAAGAATTTGGAATTTCAAATCTTGCACTTTCACCACCGTCTTGGGTATGGTGTGTCGGTTAATTTTTACGTTCAGTATGATAGGAGTTGACCGTGCGTACAATCTATACTGCTTTTATGCATATTTTGGGCCGATTGCATTATCCTTCTACTGTGATCGATTAGCCACGAACAATCTGACACTTGTGACGTAAAAATCCGTGCAGCCGAACGCAAATCCGGTTTTCTTAGTTAGACGTATCTCAAACAATGTATAAACTTTGGAAGCAACTGGACATTCTCACGAAAACCATGTTAGAATACATATGCGAACTTCGG